CGACTTCTACTCTAGATGGCTCAACAAATTGGAGTTACGAGGGTGGGATGACTAGTCGTGGCCTCGCGTACTAAGCCAAGTCCTCGTAACTCCGGCTCAGTCAAGAATGATACCCCAATGCGACGCGGCCTCGCGGGCAAAGGTAAGCATCCTCGACACCAAGAAAGAAGTTTTCGGGATTGAGTTGGGCAACCTCTACTACGCGGCCTCGCGGTGGAAGTCGTATCCAACTCAATACCATCCTAAACATTCCTAGTGCAGCCCAGGTCCGGCAGCATGATTGTGTGTGCAACAGTGTAGTGCTAAAACATTTATGCATGCACAACAGTTTATACACAAAGCACTTCAAGAGTTCGAAAGAGAAAAACATTCATTCCCAAACTCCAAACCTACAAAACAAAGGGTCAACAATTACTCCACCCCTTATAACTCCCAACCTACAAGACCATTTAACACTTTGTTAGCGGGCTTACCTTAGCCTTCACGATGCGCTGCCACAAGACCACGTTAGTTAAAAAACAATCAAGATATACTAGGCCTAAGTCTTCAAGTCCCCAGCGGAGTCGCCAAACTGTCGCGACCTCCCCGAACCAGGCCCCGCCGCCTAAGGTGGTTTGGCTAATGGATTACTAAGTTAAACCTAGCTCGAGCTCTCCCAAGCTCATACCAGTTCGCGACTTAAGTTGAAGTTATTAACATGGAAATCAATTTCACCTAGGAGTCGCCACTAATCAGTTTTTGGTGGGTCGATTAGACACCCAAGTGAAACACGGGAGAGATGCTTCACTTCTACGAACCAGAGATTCAATGGGTACGGGGACTTGATTACACTAGCGATCTACTAGTGCCCTTTCGGTACCTAAACTTGATTACTTGCGAATTAACGTACCAGGCAGCCTATCGAAAAAGCTAAGATTCCGTCTAACCATGCTAAAAATAGAAAATAACAACCAATAAATTAAAGGTGCGCAACCAAATAATCACAAAGAAAACAAGCAACCAGCGACCTAGCATCGTCTCTAAAAAAGAAAAGGCAATCAAAAGCCCTAAAGTAAAGCCCTCATGGCTTATCCGATTTTTGAGATATTTTTAGAGGGTTTTTTCTCATTTTTTCATTTTTTTTGAGTTTTTTTAACCTAAAATCTAGTGAAATTAAACCAAAAACTGATTTCTGAACATCTCCTAATTTTCTGATTTCTTTTTTTGGAATTTTTTAATATTTTTGAATTTTCTGAATTTTTAAATGTTTTTTTAATGTTTTTTAGACTTTTTAATATTTTTTGGATTTTTAAACATTTTCGAGTTTTTTTGGAATTTTTAATATTTTTTAATATTTTAATATTCTTTTTGAATTTTTAATTTTTTTTAATGTTTTAATATTTTTAATAATATAATAATTCCGGACCGGGTCCCCTGACCCGATCCGCCCGACACAAGACCCAGGATCCCCCCGCTCCTTTTCTATTTTTTTATTCCATTCTTTTGATTTTCCTTTTTTCTTTTGTCTTTTTCTTTTGTTTCTTTTTTCCTTTTTTATTATTCTTCTTTCTTCTTCATCCCCTCCTGCGCGTGACCTTCCTGCCCAGAAAGCTTCCCTGCTTCCTACTGTTCTTCACCGAGAACTCCTATTCTTCAACCGAGACCTCACCAAGAACGCTTTTGGGCCTCCGACAGACGACGCGGGCCGCCAACGCTGACTACCTACACTGGGCTCACGCTCTCACCATCGACCCCCCCATCCGCCGAACCTTCGGCTAACTCCGGCCGCCGAACGACACCGGCAACCAAGATTCATTCTCCGATCCCCAAACTTTCGGCCACAAGAAAACGTAAAACCCAAACAACCAAGCATACACGACATGGAAAAGAGCGAACTGACAGTGGCGGCTTCGAGCCACAGGTGTCACTGGGCAAAGGAGAATGGAGCTCCGGCGAAGGTCACGTCCATGGCCGACTCGAACGATGCAAGATATGCCACAAAACCGAAAGAAACCACAGAGAAAACACGAAGGCAAACACCATTCGACCAATATGGGAACCAATCAAGCATAAAAATCGAGTTTCAAGCACTGATTCGCAAAAAATAACTCGGACCTCCATTTAGGCATTTCGTCGAACATGTGATGTGCGAGTTCATAAAAATGTTCTAGAGTGGGATTTGATGCGGTTTTCAACTCAAACATGAAGTGAGAAGACCCATACAACTGTTTTTTGCCATAATAAGGTCTCAGTTTGCACAAAAACGATCCGAAAATGCAAGATCAAACTCGGGGTCATAAACTCAAAGAACTTCGTTGAAGCATTTTGGCAAACAGGTGTTAGGCACCTTGAAAAGGGAGCTAAATGCCTAATCTCGACACGATTCGTAGTCTTTTTTTTGACACGTGATGTTTGGAAAAGGTTCATTGAGTGTCAAAAACGAGTTAGCTTCCTTCGACGGGGCCGGGCGACCACCGAATAGGCTCGGTGCGCCCGGCACCCCAGGAAGCGAGGGAAGGGGGACAAAAACGGGGAAGAAAAGGATGCAAAACCCACCTGGTTCGGGGTTGACCGAAGAGAGGCGCGACAACCGGGGCCTCGGCGGTGGCTCGAGCGACGTTCCGGCGAGTGGGTGAGAGTCGGATCTCTCCGATTCCCCTCAACTCTCAGTCGGTCTCCGTTTTTTTCTTCTTCTTCTAATTCTCTCTGCGTTCTTGGCTCCCTCGATTCTCTCTCGGTTTTGGCTCCCCCTCCAGTCTATTCTCCCCGGAAGCTCTTCAAGTTCTCTTCTCCTTTCCCCTCTCGTTCTCTCCGCTTTGCTCTCTCGTTCTCTCCGCTTTTTCTCTCTCGGATCTCTCCCTCCCCGATCTCTCTCCGGACCCCCGGCTTTAAGGACGGCCAGTGCGCTTGAAGCCAGACCCGACGAGCGCGCATGGCCCCGCCACCGCCGGCTGCCCGCGGCCGGCCGTCTCCCGACCCGAAGATCGCGCCGGCGTCCCCCGCGCCCCTCTGGTCTCTGTGGCGTTCTGCCATTGTTCCTCCCCCGTACACTTCAGAAACGTTGACTGGGGAGGGGGAGCTGAACAGTGCGCGGGCCGGGCCGTGGGAAATGGGCCGGCCCGCGCGAAAATGGAAAGGGGAACACGGGCCGCGCGCAGTAAAAGAAAAACAAGGAAAAAGAATGGGCCGACGAATCCGGCCCGGAAATCTTTTTTTTTTTAATGAATATGTCCTAATAGGCCATATTAATGCAAATGTGCCTAATGTCTATATGCCATGGAATTTAATAAAAGTATTTTTGGCTTAGGGGTTAAAAATTAAACCATAATTTTTATGCGATAAAATCTTAAATGATTTGGGCAAAATTTAGGTGTCAACACGGTCTTTACTCATCAATTTTACATGTTGTACCTAGCCCGTTCGCACCTTAGAGAGGACCTCACATTACTTGTCTGTGGCATATTAATATGTTGGGAAAAGTGCCAAAAAAGTCCTAAACTTTTTGCATTGGTGCCAATTTAGTCATAAACATTTTTTTAGTGCCAATTCAGTCATAAACCTTTTACATTGGTGCCAATTTAGTCCTAAACCTTTTTTTGGTGCCAATTAAGTCCTAAACCTTTTAAATTGGTACCAATTCAATCCTAAACCTTTTTGTTTTTGTGTCAATTTTGACCGGAATTTGTCGACGTGGACGCCTGCCGGCCAGCCGCCGGTCACCGGCGCCGACGTGGCGCTGACGTGGACAACTTTAATAATATTTTAATATTTTTTTGAATTTTTTTATATTTTTTCCTTTTTTTCTTTTTTTTCCACTTTTTTTTTGGGTCCCCCCTCCTTCCTCTGGCCGGTCGCCGGACCATATAAAAAAATTCAAAAAATATTAAAATATTATTAAAGTTGTTCACGTCAGCGCCGGTGACCGGCCGTCGGCCGGCAGGTGTCCACGTCGGCAAATTCCGATCAAAATTGACCGGAAGGACTAAATTGACAAAAAAACAAAAGGTTTAGGACTGAATTGGCACCAATTAAAAAGGTTTAGGACTTAATTGGCACCAAAAAAAGGTTTAGGACTAAATTGGCACCAATGCAAAAGGTTTAGGACTGAATTGGCACCAAAAAAAGGTTTATAACTAAATTGGCACCAATGCAAAAGGTTTAGGACTGAATTGGCACCAAAAAAAGGTTTAGGACTAAATTGGCACTAATGCAAAAGGTTCAGGACTTTTTTGGCACTTTTCCCTTAATATGTTCTATGTACTTGTGATATTCCTTCGTTTAAGAGCTTAAACTTTTGGGACGACTAATTTATTGCACACGATATAAGAGAACGAGTTAATGCTTCAAATCCCGGCACTCCCTCTCATTTTCTCTCTCTTTCTCCTTTGTCGAACTGCCTCGCATCCTCACCGATCATCTTAGCTCCGATCATCAGCACGATGGCAAAGGAAGCAATTGAGCCAAGCCGCCCAATGATCACCACTAGTGTCCAACCACCCATGGCCACCAGCATGTGGGCTTGGATCTTCTTCAACTCCAATGGGCTTTTTAGCCCTCAAATTGGGCTTATTTTGCTCTGTATCTTGCTGGCCCTTTGGGCCTCTCACTTCTCCGTCTTCAGGCTTAATCTTAAGTTAGAAAAAAAGCTTATTATTCTCAATGAACTGTTTCTCTTATATTAAGTGTATTTTATTTATTGGTAAAAAAAAAATTGTGTGTAAGCCTACAACAATAACAAAATCTAATTTAGTACAAAGCTGGAAATGTGACTCAGCACTCGATATCTCATTTAAACAATCAAATTTAGCACACCCTAACATTAATAACACAAGAAAAAGAGAAAACTTGCACTTTCGTGATAGCGTCGCCATTGTTGGGCCACCATGCGACATGCCGTGGTTACACGATGATGAACTCATCGGGGCGGCTTTGTCTTGCCCGGACGGACTCATCTGCCGGGGGCCGCCACCGGTATATCCCGAGGTGTTTGTCAAACATTCGATTATAAAAATTCATGACTTTCGCAGGTATATCTTAAGTCTTAATTGAGCCTTCCCTCCTTCCATTTCCTTGGACAGCAAGCGAGTTCACCTAAACCACAGCGACAAGCGAAGAAAGCTCCAATTTTTTTCCGATTGCTGATCTCATGAGAAAATCCATCAGGATCCCACCTCAACCCCGATCTTCCCCACCACCATCCGCCGCCGCCGCCTCCGCCGCCGCCTCCAAGATCCCGTTACGGCCCCGCAAGATCCGGAAGCTCACAAGCCAACCGCTGGACCCCCCAAAACCGCCGCCGCCTTCCCCGCCGGTTATTGCTCCCCAAATCCCCAAACCCCTGTCCTCCGACGGCGAGATCGAGCTCGCCCTCCGCCACCTCCGCCGCTCCGACCCTTTGCTCTCCGCCCTCATCGACACCCTCCAGCCTCCCGCCTTCCCCTCCTCGGCCCGCCCTTTCCTCGCCCTCGCCAGAAGCATCGTCTACCAGCAGCTAGCCACCAAGGCCGCCCAGACCATCCACGCGCGCTTCCTCGCGCTCTTCGTCGACGGTGACGGCGGCGGCGGCGACGACGGCGTCTCGCCCGACTCGCTCCTCGCGCTCACGCCCCAGCAGTTGCGGCAGGCCGGGGTCTCCGGCCGCAAAGCCGGGTACCTCCGCGACCTCGCCGAGCATTACAGGAGCGGGGCGCTGTCGGACGCATCGATTCTTGAAATGGAAGATGAGGCTCTCCTGAGCGCGTTGACAAGGGTCAAGGGAATCGGGGTCTGGTCTGTTCACATGTTCATGATGTTCTCGCTTCACAGGCCTGACGTTTTGCCCGTGGGTGATCTTGGAGTGAGGAAGGGCTTGCAGGCAATGCACGAGCTCAACGAGTTGCCTAAGCCATTGGAGATGGAGGAGCTCTGTGAGAAGTGGAGGCCTTATAGGTCTGTTGGGTCCTGGTACATGTGGAGGCTCATGGAGTCTAAGGCCGCAGCCGCGAAGGCAAAGCCAGCTTCGACTTCAGCTTCGGTCGAGAGTCGGTGAAATTGTTAACATTGTTCAGCGTTGGTACGTCTCCGCATTTGTTGCAGCTTTCTGCTTGCTTCTTGCTGTGGTATGTTGTGCATTTGCTTCAATTGGCTCTGGTGTATGTCTAAATCAGATACCTTTGGCATGGTGGATTCTTTATCAGCCTTTTCGGTGGTCTTAATCTATGAAGCTGCGAAGATGCAGAGTTTTACCTGAGAAAAGTTGATATCTTTGTCGCGTGGGTCCTTGGTTTTGAGAAGTTTAGATGTTTCCTGAACTAGGAATGTATCAGATAGTTGATTTGGTTTCCCAGTAATTATAAGCAGGCAGGAGGGGTAATCAAACTTAGCTCGGCTTCTTATTAGTTTAGGAATTGTTTCCATATTTGGATGCTTCCTTGGAGAGATGAACCAGGATTGACCTTCCTCTTGTGCTAAGGGGATTTAATCAATATCCCAGATCCATTCTTCGGGTCAAACGCTTAAAATTTATGGCTTGTGTGTTTGGCTGAACTTCGAACCGACTCATCTCAATCCATGCCCAGCTTACTGTCGAGGTGCGTGTGCTTATGTTTGGTATGCTATCAAACTGAGTCGCTCGATTTTCTTGCCTGGAAGACTTGTATCTGAATCACAACATTGTCGCCATTGGTTTAATATGTAACTATCATTGTGCATCTTGAAGCATTTATATTTGTGATAACATGATGAGACTCCTACCTAGCAAAATTAGCCATTTCGACATATTCGGTTGAGGTTATGCACAGTTATGTATTTTACTCCAGGCAAGGAATTGAATGTGCAAGTTCGGTGCTAAACTCTCCATGAGAGTTTGAGACATAGAGGCTTAAACTGTGATAGTTCAGTTCAGCATATTGTTGCATGCTCTTGTTATCAAGCTTTCCTGTCATTGACCCGTCGGCCTTACTCGGCATTAGTGTTACAAGAAGGCTCTTGTCTTTAGCGCGGCTAATCAAGGCTATTGTTTACTTCTGAATCTTCCTCATTATTGCTAGAACGAAACTATTTTACTTCAGCTGCTTCTCTCTATAAGTTTCTGATACGTTTGTGCCAAATGGGATCAGAATAGATTCATGCGCCCTGCACTGCCGTAAGTATTTCTGAATCGACTAGCAGATTCTCGAACACAAAATATAGCTGAGGCGTGAAGACCCTGTTTTCCCAATTGGTTCTGTCTTTTGGGCAATTTCTGCAACTAGAATTCAAGTTGTAATGTAATCTCAAACTGGCCCGGCTCAATCACACCTTTGTCCTTAGGATCAATCACTCTGTGTTACAGTTGTCTTCATGACTGTCTCGTTGCTCATTGTGGGATCTACTGTGTATCCCAATTAGGAGGGCACAACTTTCCCTTGACACACCGCCTCCTTCCTGGTTTGCCATGTAAACCGGCAGTTGTACAATCAATCTGCTTCTTCATCATGTTCTTATCTGCTTTAATCGAATGCTTTCTCCTCCTAAGTGTGTTGCAAGGTGCGATCGATCAAATGATCACATAGCCAACCTGGTCGCAGAGATTGTATTTAGGAGAGGTTCCATTGTTCCTTCGGGATATCAAAAAATAAATTATAGACTCGTTTATCTGGCTCTGGACGATCGTAAAGTGATTGAAACGTTTCACGAAACTAAGTTTTTCGATGATGTTGTGTATGTTAAGGGCGTGTAAAGGAATCGCGAAACCGCTCGGAACCGGACCGAACCGGCCCATAAAATGCAGTTCCCAGAGAGACCAGTCCGGTTCCCGATTTCAATTTACTGGATCTGATGGGTACCGGTCCGGTTTCAGGTTGCGCATATGGACCGGACCATTATGAGCCTTATAACGCTTGTAGTAGAGGTTCCTTGTAACACTCTGTTCAAAGTGTATTATACAGATTTTGGTGGTTTGTAGTGAAGACGGAAAGACAATAGATTCGAGACCATCCATAGAACTGTAGTAGTCATCCATGTCATATAAATTTTATGTTCAATTTTTTTATGTGTAAAGACCGGTCTCAATATATGGACGGAGACTTTGTTCCGAGTGTCTATAAGTGATTGTTGTAATATATTACCGTTCCCACTGTTTGTCGTCGATTCAAACAGGTTGAACTTCTCTTATCCCGAGTTTTAATTGGTCGAGTGACTTTCTGCATACACTAGGCTGCACGACTTGTCTCGACTCTCCTCTACCTCGACTTGTCTGGTTAGTTTGGAAAAATGGTATAAATGATCCCTAAACTTTGTCCGATGTACAATGTGGCCCATGAATTTTTAATTTTCTCATCTCGAGTTTTTTTGGTTGATTAATTTTTTTTTTAATTTTTTAACGGTTGACTTTTGTATTTGTGGGCAAGTCTACCTTCAAAAAACAACTACATTTTTAAATCCTTTGGACAATCAAGAATGTAATTTGGATATTTATGAAGTATCGTACCTGAACTTTTAATTTGTTTAATGTGATCTTTGAACTTTGTCTAATGGGCAATATCGTCCCTGAATTTTTAAACTGTTCAATGTAGTTCCTGGACTTTTGGTACATGTTCGATTTAATCTCCAGATTATCTGAAAATGTTCGATATTGTCATTGAACTTGAATTAATGAAATGACAACATTGAACATTTTCATATAGTTCAGGAACTAAATTGAACATGTAGCACAAGTTCAGGGACTACATTGCACGTTGGGGTAAAGTTCAAAGACCACATTAAATAAATTAAAAGTTAAGGGATCACATTGCACATTCGTCCCAAATTCAGGTACTATTTATATCAATTTTCCCATTAGTTTTATTCTCTAGATTCGGTTCAACCTCGCATTTGGGTTGCCATTTTATTCTTCTAACAGCCCCTTAAAAAAGGCGCTAGAACCTGATTTTGGCCGGAAAGAAAAGGAAAGGTAAAAGGAAAGAGACTATAAAGCCCTAGGGATTAGATAGAGGGATCACAAATAAATGTACCTTTCCTATTGATAAGAAAAAGGTAAATTTTTTTTAGTGCATGCGTATTTGCGGTATTTTGTGTTGAAATTACGAAAAAAAAATACATTATAATAGTGTTAATGCTATAAGTGCATCGTAGGACAGTTCTTAATAGCTTAATTTTTTGGGTTAAATATTCTAACTAGTTAGATTTAACCCCAACCTTATTTCGCGCATGTGACCTTTGTTCGTAGATTACACATGTAGTATAGTTCAAGTTTTTTGGTTGACCATTCTGACCTTGTATCCAAGTTAGGTTTTGCCCCAAGTTTATTTCGCCCGGTGGCGTTTGCTCTTCAATTTTACATGTAGTACTCAGCCCATTTGCACCTTAGAGAGGACCTCACATTACTTGTCTATGGCATATCAATATGATTTTATATACTTGTGATATCCCTTCATCTAAAAGCTTGAATTTTTGTGACGAGTAATTTATTTCATATGATATCATGGTACAAGTTAATGCTTCAAATCCTGGCACTCCCTCTCGTTTTCTCTTGCCTCTCCCTCTCCTTTGTCGAACCGCCTCGCATCCTCACGGATCATTTTAGCTCCAATCATCAGCACGATTGTCTTGGATGCAATTGAGGTTGGCTAGGTACCGTTCACTAGACCTGATCGGGCCCAAGCCACAAGTGCCCAGAGACTTTTTGGACAGCTTGCAGTAGGGCATTTAGTGAGAAAACCCGGGCTGACTCGGTTGGGCCTGAGCCACAAGCAGCCTGGCCCGAATATTTGTATATAAGATTATTGGCAAAATTGTTTAAAAAGTCCTAAACTTATTATAATTTTGCCAATTCAGTCCTAAACATTTTAATTGTGTTGATTAAGTTCTAAACATTTTCACGTTTCGCAAAATTAAGTCCATCCGGCCAATTTTAGTTGAAAATCGTTGATGTAGACGCCAGCTGTCCTACGTGGTAGGATCACAATCTATGGCTGGAGGGGCCAAAGAAGAGGATTTTCATCTATGTAGAGAATCTTTGCCATCCTTCCCTCCCCCTCCATTCCCTCCGGCATCAAGAGAGGCCAGCCAAAGTATCCATTCGACCACGAGGCATAATTGGCCTCATATTTCTCACCGTTTACTCACCAAAGTGAAGAGCAAAGCAATCCGCGTGATACGTCTTCGTCTTGTCCCTCGCGTGTGAGCTCACACATGAGGAAAAGCGCGGAGAAATATGCCGCAAATACATTATTGGTCCGTTTCCTAACGGTATGAACTTTTATAAGATTCGTTGAGACAGTGATCGGTGACTCAATAGACCACACAAGCGACTCAGGAAAGCCAGTAAATGACTTTACATTACAAATATAAAGAAACAACAAAGAAAAAAATGCATAATAAGAGTAATACTAAGTATTTATCGATTTATAAAATTTAGAAATATTAAATGACGTTGTAAGTTGCAAATGGATAAATAAATGAGCATTAACACCTGGTGAAAAGCTAGAAACGTGACTTAAGTACTTGATATCTTATTTCAATAATCAAATTTAGCAAACCTAACATTTATAAAAACAAAATAACAAAAACTACATTTTCCATAAGAGCGCCACCATTGTCGGACCACTATGGGACGGTGGCTAGAAGATGATGAACTCATTGGGGTGCCACAATTATAACCCGAGGTGTTTATTAAACATTCAATTATAAGAATTCATTATTTTCAATACACTATCTCTATTGTATTATATGTAATACTATATTGAATATTAATATTTTTTTTTATCGAGTATGACTCCTTCTTTATAACATCCTCATCATTATATATAACTACTACTTCGGTATTTCTCGTCTTAAATAATCTTCTTGCCTCCGTCCTTCCCTCTCTCCATTTCCTTGGACATCAAGAAAGTCTAGTCGAACAATGCTAGCATAACAGTCACCGTTATTATTGAAAGTAACGGTGGCATGTGAAGTTGTAATCGAGAGAGAGGCAATTGCTCATTACAGATTGTGGAATTTGACTAATTTCAATTCTTCATGTCAAAATGTTTGTTTTTTTGTTGTGGTTTCCTTTTTGTATACAAAGATTGTTTCTAAAGTCTCGGTTTTTATTGGACAGTGTGTGATAGTTTCATGAACATATTTTATGTATTGGAAGCACTCACGTGATGGTGACTTACAGAGAAACAAATCAATCATAAATTGAGAATTTTCAGATTTTAAATACAAAAATTTGTTATAATGCATACCATGCAAATAAATGTGATTATGTGATTAGTTTGTTTCACCACGACATTAATTGTGCAACACGTGTATATAACTTCTTCTTTTTTATGTCGATTTCGATTTAAAGGTCTGTTCCCAAACAATGCGATCGATACATGTAATATATTAACGTTGACATGCTTCCCAAAATAGTTTTGTGTTGGTGAAACTTTCGCATATTGTCCAACAAAATTCGAGACTTTAGACATAATATTTGTATAAATAAAGATAGCACAAAAAAAAATATAAACATTTTAACATGAAGAATTGAAATTAGTTAAATCATGCAATCTGTAACTAAACCGAAAAGCGAAGAAAGCTCCAAATTTTTTTTTCGTTTCACCTATCGAATTGTTGCTCTCATTAGAAAATCCATCAAGATCCCACCTCAACCCCAATCTTCCCCACCACCCGCCGCCGCCGCAGCCGCCGCCGCTTCCAAGATCCCGTTCCGGCCCCGCAAGATCCGGAAGCTCACAAG